GCATATGAGTTGAACATTTACCTGAGGTGGATACACTCCTTGGAGAGAACAATTATAGGAGAAAGAAGGGCTGTTTATGCACAAGGAGACAGCTCAGGGGGCAGGAGTGCATGGAGGGACAGACATAGGAAGAGGTAACTATTGGGAGGAAGTGGGAGGGGAGCTATTGCATTGGGGTAACAATTTAGTCAATGTCATGAGACAAAGTGTATGTCAACTGTTGCATGGAATGTGAATTTGCTCTGTAAATTTTCACCCAAATCACAATTAAGAATAAAAAAAAACACGATTATTTGAAAAGACTACTACAAACCTCAGCAAACACAAGTTGAAATAAGAAACAGAACATAAAAACAGAAATGATGGAAAGAGAGTTGCTGTTGTTATGTGCCGTCGAGTCGGCCCCGACTCATAGAGACCCCTCCTTGGGTTTCCGGAAAGAGAGTACAGACAGAGAAATGAGTCAAAAATTATAGGTAAATACTACACAGACTCTGTAACAATAAATATGAAAACCTAAATGAAACTGGTAGTTTTTAGAGGAGTAGATATTATCTAAATTGACACAAGGACTATGCCCTTAAAACAAAAACAGTCAAGGATGGTACAAAAATAAAGTTACAGGCTAGTCTCACAAAGTGCAAAAATCCTAAATGAGGGACTTGCTAGTTGAGCTTGTTGTTACTTTCCATCAAGTTGGACCAGACACATAGTGACCCCTCCTTGGATTTCCTAGGCAGTATCAGTACGGAAGTAGACTGCCCAACATTCTTTCCAAGGAGTGGCTGGTGGGTTTAAACCACCAGCCTTCTGGTTAGCAGTTAAGTGCCTTAGGCACTATGATAAATGTATTAAAATACTAAGTAAGATTTATAACAGAAATGCATGGGTGATTAAATACTACAAAACCTATCAACCTTATACTCCTATTTAAGGTAGTTTATGTTTTTTTCTTCCCTGTGACCCCACCCCTGCCCTTCTTATTTATGTATTCCTGTCCAAGATGAATCTTTATGACTTTTCACTCCAAAACCTTATATGCTGCAATAATACAAATGGATTAAGAAAGTTCAATCCCACAAAGACAAAGGGAGTAAGGGAGGTGGCATCAGCAAATAAGAGAGGTCAATAAACATTTAGATGAATAGTAGAGGGAAAATGAATAAGTAACCTAGTACAGAAATCAGTCTAAAGGGTAAATGAAATAGAAAGGGATGAGAGAATTGATTCTTTAAAATGCATACATATTAAAAAAAAGAAAGCATACACTTGGAAACGCCAAGTATAAAAGACATCTCATAGAACAAAATCATTGCTATCCTACCTCCTACATACACATATAATTCCCTACACACGTACATATACACACCCATATACATAGACAACCATGAGCACCTAATACGGGTAGCTAAACTTCTGCCATAGAAATTTGAGGTTTATTCTCTGGAGAAATTAAATGTAGGAGGTTTGGGACTTGAAGATAAACACATAGAAAAAGGGATGAGCCTGGAAACTGGGAGATCAGAGTGATACTGAATCACTAGGAAGGCTTAAAGTTATATGTATTCCTGAAGTGCACCTGACCCAAGTCATGGTATTTTCCATCATCTCATATGCATGCAAAAGCTGGACAGTAAATAAGGAAGACTAAAGAAGAACTTGGAAGCTCTGGTAGCATAGTGCCTAAGGCACTTGACTGCTAATCAGAAGGCTGGCAGTTCAAACCC